CACATGTGATTTTGAGGAAATCAGAGATGTAAGGAAATCCATGGGGGTGAAGAAGCATGAAAGACTGTTGAGCAAATGGCAAGAATATTCTGAGCTGAGCTGCATGATTTTCTCCATCCTCTACACCTGAAGTCAAAAACAAAGACCTCAGGACTGAGGGACATGAGAATCCCAGAACAAAAGGACCAATTAAATGGCCAACATGAGGTTGCAAAGAAAATACCCTGAACATCTCCTGAAAGATCAGGCATCATTCAAAGTCTCCAAGAAACAAGAATCAGGAACCCGTGCTGTGGCATAGCATGCAAAGATGCTATGTGTAACACCAGCATCCCACATAAGCAGCGGTTCAAGTCCTGGCTGCTCTACTTTCCACCTAGCTCCCTGCTAAGGTGCCTGAAAAAGCAAGTGGAGGATGGCCCAAGTGCTTGGGCCCCTGCCCCCACATGGGAGGCCCAGAAGAAGCTCCTGGCTCCCAGCTTTGAAGCGACCCAGCTCCAGCTGTTGCAGCCATTTAGGGAGTGATTCAGCAGTTGGAAGACACTCAAAAACAAACAAGAATCAGAACAGCAAATTTCCCAACCCTGAAAGTGAGCTTATTGTAACTGAGCAGATAATAATCCTCTGACAATAGCCAGGAGAATTATTTTCAACTGAAGAGTTTTTATTCAACCAAGCTATAAATCAAGCATAAGGTTGGCTTGATTTTTGAGACCTGCAACGATTCATAGTGTATTTCTCACTCATTCTGCTTAGAAAGCCACTAGAGTGTGTATGCCATCAAAACCAAGCAGTAAGTAATACATTAAGAAGGAAAAGATATAGGTGGTCTTTGTGGTATAGCACATTAAGCCTCCCACATGCCATACCACAGTGCTTAGGATCAAGCGCCACCCATGCTTCTGAGCCAGCCTCCTGCTGTGGCACTCCCTAGGAGGCAGCGGGTGATGACTCCTGTGCGTAGGTCCCTGCCACTGATGTGTGCCATCTGAATGGAGCTCCCGGCTCCCGGCTAGGGCCTGGGCTCAGTTCTGGCTGTTGTGGGCATCTGGGGAATAAACAGGAGGATGGAAAATCTTTCTATATCCCTCAAATAAAGATGAATAAACGTTTCTAAAAGGAAGAATCGAATTGAAAGCAACCAGAATCTAGCTTCGACTGATTTAATCATAAAGGATATATATATATGTATATATATATCAAAAGGATTCTGTGTCCCTATCGGTAGGAATACAAAATGGTTCTGCCCTATGGAAAACAACATAGCAGTTTTTCAACATAATTCAACATAATTCATAATTATGTCCAACATAATTCATAGTTCAACATAATTCAACATAATTCATAAACAGAATTGCCCTATGATGCAACGTTTCCACTTCTGAGTCATATATCCAAAAGAACTGAAATCAAGGCCTTTGGAAAGCCATTTGTCCATCCACGTTCATAGCAGCATCCTTCACAGTGGCTAAAATGTGGAAGCAACCCCAGTGTCCGCTGACAGAAGAACAAATCGGCAAGATGGATTTATCTACTCCTCAGGATAGGATCCAGCTTTCAAAGGGAAGTAAATTCTGATATGTGCCAAACATGAATGAACTTGAGGATATTATCCTAAATAGGCAAAGTTCAAAATGACAAATGTTATATGATTCTGTGACCAGTGTTGTGCCATGGTAAACTAAACTGCCAATTGCAATGCTGGCATCCCATGCTAGACTATGCGCTTGTATCCCAGCTGCTCCCCTTATAATCCAGCTCCCGGCTAATACACAGTGGAAGATGACCCCAGCACTTGGATCTCTGCCATTCACATGGAGACCCAAATGGAGCTCCCAGTTTGGTCTTGGACCAGCCCCAAGAGTTGTGGCCATTTGGCAAGTGAATCGGTAGATAGAAGATCTCAACATCTTTCCCTTTTATTCTCCTTTTCAAATAAACACATTTAAAAATACTATATGATTTCACTTACATGAGATAGTTAAAATAGTCATAAGCCGAGGAGCAGGGCCTGGCGGCGTGGCCTAGTGGCTAAAGTCCTCATCTTGAACGGACCAGGATCCCATATAGGCGCCAGTTCTAATCCCAGCAACTCCACTTCCCATCCAGTTTTCTGCTTGTGGCCTGGGAAGGCAGTCAAGGACAGCCCAAAGCTTTGGGACCCTGCACCCATGTGGGAGACCTGAAAGAGGTTCCTGGTTCCCGGCTTCAGATCGGCACAGCACTGGCCATTGTGCTCACTTGGGAAGTGAATCATCGGATGGAGGATCTTCCTCTCTGTCTTCTCCTCTCTGTATATCTGACTTCATAATAAAAATAAAAATAAATCTTTAAAAAAAAAAGCAGAGGAGCAAAATAGAATGGTGGTGTTATGGGCTGGGGGGGAATGGTTATAAGCGACAATTTGACAGACAATTTTTGCTTTACAAAGTTAAGGAGATAGATGGTAAAGATGTTTATACAATGTTATAAATATTTAATAACACTAAATTGCATACTTAAAAATAATTATATGTCTTTTGTATTTTATCTCAACAAAACAGACAGAATATTGGACCTCTGAGAATGGCCTGGAAAGGTAGTTGGGTCAGGGTTATACAGCCAAGGGCAACACTCAACATTATGTGCCAGAGCAGTCCAGAGGAGACACATGGGGTAGCACCAACGAACCAAAGCCCTTAACACTAGAGCCGACAGCACAGACTTCCTGCAGCCACCATCATGCTTCCAGAAAGCTCCATGAATTCTTTTTTCTGATTTCCAGCTCCCTAACACCAGACATGAGAAGGGTTCCCTGATTAACACAGTCTGGTTCCTGTACCTGAACTCAGACTACAGGAAAGGCCAGAAAACTGAGTTTCTGACATTTTCAGTATTCTTATAAAAATATTAATTACTTATTTGAACAGCAAAACCACAGAGACAGAGGGAGACATGGGTTGAGAGAGAGCTCTTCCAATTATTGGTTCATTCTTCAGGTCTGGACCAGGTTGAACCCAGGAGCCCAGAAATTCATCTGGAGGGTGGCAGGGGCCCAAGTACTTGGGCCTGCTTTACTGCTCTCCCAGTAGCATTAGCAGGCACCTGTGCTAGTAGTGGAGCAGCCAGGACTTGAATTGCCAGGGTTGTAGGCAGTGGCTTAACCATTGTACTACAATGTCAGCTCTGACATTTGTCAGTTTTGAATGTGAATGCTATACAATGTTCCCCTGTTCTGTAACACTGGAAATTCTTCAAACACAGCGAGATCACAGAAGAAGAAGCAGGCAGTAACAGTAACAGAAAGATGAGGGTCTATCCAGGGAATCACATTTTCTAGACCTGATGTAAGTATGGCCAAGAGAAAAATCCTAACACAACTCTGTGGCAGCCCTAGAGAACAGTCTGGAATGCAACAAGAGGATGGAAACCAGAGGACAGGGGGAGGGGAAGAACAAAAAATGGATAAGAGACGTTTCTGACACATTGGAACAAGTAGAAAATAACATGAAGAAGCACTTGATAGATCTGCTGGAGACTTAAAATAATAAGGAAAAAACAAGTCAACTTTGACCTTCAGGAAACAAAAACACTGAATAAAAATGAAGAAATACAAGCATAACACAACATATGATTAGGAAGTAATATTTCCTTAGTCATGCCAATAGAAAGTCTAGCTCTTAATTATTCAAAAAACCTATGTTATAACTTGGGAATATTAAATGAAGAGAAGTCAGAGTGATGCAAAAGAGTTAAGTCCTGTTACTATCACAGGAAATCAAAAGTTGGTGTCTGAATTTGAGGGATCAAGACGCTACCTGCAAGACTGCCATCCCACACGGCTGCAGGTTCACGCCCCAACTACTTGATTTCCACTCCAGCTCCCTGCTACCGGCCTGGGAAGAGCAGAAGATGGCCCAAGGGCTTGTTCCCATGTTCCCATCGAAGTGGGAGACTCTACTGAGGCTCCTGCCTCCTGGCTTCAGCCTGGCCCACCCCAGCTCTTACAGTCATCTGGGGAGTGAAACAGTGGATGGAAGCTCTCTCTGTCTCTCCCTCTCTTTCTAACTCTGACTTTCAAATACATACATAATAAAAACAAAAAGCTGTCATTTAAAAAAAAAACTGTGCTATTTAGTATCAGGGGAATCAACAGAGGATACAACTTTTTGGTTGAAAAGCGAGGTTTTCTGGGAGTAGGTCGCAGAAAAGGATAGCAGTGGTAGTATGGAAAGCAAGAACTATTTTCCCTATGTGACTGGAAACCAGTGGGCTTATTAAACTTTGTATTTGCTGTTTTGACAAATTTTTAAAAATAAAATAATGTTCCAACCATGAAAAGATTCTATCACCAATTTAGAAATCATAAAAGAGAAACAAGCCCATAGGAATACGTAAAGGGTTTGTCTTGACACGCCTCCTGAACTGGTCCACATCTGTCCGGACAGGTGTTAAGGGCAGGAAGGTGGAGTAACATACACAAGAGCCAAGTGTAGGCAGGCCTGGAGCCATGACCAACTGCACAGCGAACCAGCTCAGGAACTGCTCTCTGACCTTGCCGAGCCCCAGGGTAATGTAAACCACCTAGAATATAGCTGATCCTTACAAATCATGAGCTTTTTCTCTCAGAGTTTCTGTCTTGTTTCTGTTTCTACATTTGAGAAAGCAAAGTCGTTTCCTTTAGCTGCCTCCTATCCTCCCTTTCTGGCAAAGCTTGAAAGACCCTTCCTCCACAGGCGAGCCGCTTGTCAGCACATCTGGACTTCTCTTGAAGGGAAAAATCCCTTCCCGTAACACTGGCATCAGATCTCAATGGAGTTTTGAGTGAAAAGAAATTATATTCAATTGTTAAGCCATGGCTCCCAGTTCTGACATACGGGACTGCACAGCAATTTGTGCTTAAAATTACCAACAGTATCTATGGCAGAGAAGAATCAGAAATAATTCAGCTGATGCCTAATTTTAAATCCTGATCGTGATACCCAGAAGTCAGAGGCCCGGCACGGGTCCTAGGCACTCACCTTCTCTACTTGGCCGACGCTGGTTACACAGCTCCGGAACAAGTTCCTCACACGTTCCCCCAGGCCAAGTCCCTTCACTCCTGGAAGTCTGCTTATTCCAGGTGGACCCTTGTCCTTCCCAGGAGGCAGTGGGCGACTTGTCAGAGCCATCAGGAGGGAGGGAAGTGGAGGCCCTGGAGTCCAGGAGGAAGCTGTCGTGTAGGGTGTGTTTTGTAGCCTTCTTGCCTTTCCTCTTCTGACCCCCAGCAGTTCTGCTCTCGTCTTCTTGCCTGGGCTGGCTACTCTCAAGCTCGCTGGTCAGCCGGAGGAGCTGGTCCATGTCTTTGGTAAATTCCAGAAGTGTGCCCTTTGAGAGGCTTCGGGTGGGGCCTTCGGAGCCATAGCTGGGAGCCTTCTCCAGGAGCAGGTGTTCCGAGCAGTGGACAGCTTCCATGCCCTCCCTGAGCACTGGCTCGGGCGCCCGCGAGGGGCTGCTGGAGCCCATGGACAGAGAGAAGAACGAGTAGTCCACTGCCACGTATGTCAGCATGAAGTTGATGGTCACGATAGGGGCCAGAATGTTCACCTGACCCACCAGGACAAAGGCCATGGTCACCAAGCTGGTCAGGCAGATGGCAGTCACAGGTGTTTTATTTGGTCCTTTCTGAAGAACAAAAGCACCATTTAGGCCTAGAAGATTTCAGACAGAAAACTTCAAACATTGTAGAAGTTATATGAGTCCAAAACCATAGCGGCTCAGACATTTCTTAACCATGTGGCTGTTTGCATGCTTGGGACAATAATATCCAAGTCCAGGGGTCATTTTGAGAGCAGGGCTAGCGCAGGTAAAATCCTTAACAAGGAACTCGCACACGGTGGGCTCCTAGTGTACCATACGTGCTAGCTGTCTCAGAAACTGTGAACAAGGGATGTTGTCAGAGGACGCTGACTTCCCAAATGTGAGCCCTTTTATCTTTCACTGGATTTTAACACCAGCCTTGGCTATGAAAGTCATGCCTGGCAGATTCTTCCCACAGTGTGGCAGGTCCCAGAAAACAGAATCTGCAGATTCGGCTGGCTTTGGGGTCTCTGACACTAAAAATGCACCCTTGCATATCCGCTCACATACTTGTTATGGATGGAGGTCAGCATAGTGGTCTTTAAAGGGACAGTTGGGGAAGGATGTGCTGACACTCCTGCCAGCATTCATCACAGCCAATGACACAGTTCTTAGGTCAAAAACAATAGGAACTGCTCAGTCCCCATCTTGTGTAGCCAAAGAATTCCATTTGGACTACTGGCCATGTTCTCCTCCTCAAAGACTTCTCCCTTTGTCTTCATTCTCACTGGTGGTCCCCTCTCAGGCTCTGTTATTGGCCCCTCTTGGTCTCTGAACTTGACACTGAAAGCAGGTTCATGGCTCTATCCTCAGGCCTCCTCTCTACTGAGTCCCTTGGTGATCTCAAGCAGCTTTATGGGTTTAATGCCAGCTTGATGCTGACAACCCCTACATCTGAACTTCCAGTCTAAAACATTCCTCTGAATTCCAGGCTTAACTATCCAACTGTCTGCTCAACATTTCTGATAGGTCTTTAGTCAGTCTCCCACACATGTCCCTCCAGGAGTCTGCCCTCATCCAGGCCTGGCATAGACAGACACCTTAGGAGGAACAGGTTGCAGCCGGCCTCAGGATCCGAGCCTTCCCTCATCTGAGACGGTGTCCCCAGAATGTTACAGTAAAACTCTCTTAAGAAAAAGAGTAAATGGGGTGAGTGTTTGGCTTAGTAGGTAGAATGACACTCAAGACGGCTGCAGATCAGTGCCTAGGTTCAAGTCTTGGCTCTGCTTCCAACTCTAGCTTCCTGCTAATGTGTATCCTGGAAGCAGGATATTCAAATCCTTGGTCACTGCCACCCAGAAGGACAACCAGACTAAGTTCTGAGTTCCTGCTTTGTCCTGCCAGGCTCTGGCTGCTGGAGCATCTGAGCAGCAAATCAGCACATGGAGGTTCTGTCTCTCTGCCTTTCAAATAAAATAAAAACAAAAATAAAATAACTGATTTTTAAAAATAAAAAGTAAAAATGCATTTTTGTTGCCTCTGAGAATGACATTTAGTGGGTTATACTTGCATTGGTTGTTTAGCGGACTCTAATGATAAAACTTGAGAAACTGAAGAGAACTTTAGAAAGAGGTCTTAGGTAAGCTGAAAAACTCATGGCTATGAAGACTGTGTATGCCCAACGAACTCCCTTCTGTCTACTTTTTCTATTACTTGAAATACTTCTAATTAAAGACACATACTTATGAAACACGCCCAGGCAGGGACTTGGACAAGGAAGGACTGTAAAGGGATGAAGCTGGCACACATGAACTTCCTTTTAGCAGAAAAACCGTAAAAGAAAAAAAAAAAACACTGCACCACACAATGGAGAAAAATACTTGTAGCACATATAACTGATAACAGACATCCAGAATATAGAATCTCTGCAATGTATTTATAAGAAAGACAGACACTCACTCTTCAAAAAAAAAAAAGTAAAAGGTTTAAACAAGTAAATCTTACGAGAGAATAGCTGTTAAAACATTAAAAGGATACTGAATCTCATTAGTCATTAAAGAAGCTTGAATTAAAATCACAATGACAAACAACAGTGTGGTAAACATTTTTAAATCTGATAACATCAAGCAGTGACAAAAACATATGATGGGAAATCTTATCTCCTGCTTGACAGAAGTACAAGTTAGACTATTTTGGGAAAAAGGACGGAGCAACAAGAAAGTGGAGAGCTATCTATCTCCTGATTTGGCAATTCTACTAAACAGATTGATAGTCTGGAGAGGTTCTGCACAGGCACCAGAACTGGTGCCAAGCAGACATCACCTTGGCCATCACAGTCCCAAATAGCACACACAGATGTGGATGTGACACAAACCTGGTGGTGAGTGAAGAAAGACTGCCATAAGGGAATCTCTGGTCTCACTCACGGGTCAGAAATAGACGACAGTGAACTATCCTATTTAGAGATGCAGGTGCAGGAAGTCAACCAACAATCAAACTCTGGGTCCTTGGTCACCTCTAACACTGCCCTTGAACTAAAAGGGGTCTTACATCTTCATTTTTTTCTATTTATCTGAAAGAGTAAGAGAGGGAGAGACAGAGATCTTCCATTTGTTGGTTCACTCCCCAGATGAGCACGATGTTGGCCCAGTGTTGCCTTAGGTGGAAGCTGTGGGTGATAGGGGTCCAAGCATATAGACCATCTTTCGTTGCTTTTTCTAGGTCAATAGCAGGGAACTGAATTGGAAGTTGGAGGAGCCAGAACAGTGTGCCAAATGGGACACAGGTATAACAGGTAGTAGCTTTACCCACTATGCCATGATGCTGGCCATTGGTTTTATAATTTTTTGTTTAAGATTTATTTATTTTTATTGGAAAGTCAGATATACAGAGAGGAGGAGAGACAAAGAGCAAGATCTTCTATCTGATGACTCACTCCCCAATTGACCACAATAGCCTGTGCTGCACCGATCCAAAGCTAGGAGTCAGGAACTTCTTACATGTCTCCCAAACAGGTGCAAGGTCTCAAGGCCCTAGGCCATCCTTGACTGCTTTCCCAGGCCACAAGCAGGGAGCTGGATAGGAAGTAGGGCTGCCGGGATTAGAACCAGCACCCATATGAGATCCTGATGCATTCAAGGTGAGGACGTTAGCCTCTAGGCTATTGTGCCAGGCCTGGTTTTATAATTTTTAAACGCATGGGGGAGGGAGGGTGTGCTGAAAGGACATTTGGTACAATTCAGATTTATGTCCATGAGAAAAGAACTAGGACTTGTCCATGGCTATCTGTGCACTACACTAGCAGAGCTGAGGGTTGTAGGCAATCCCGTTTGGTCCATAATGCCTACTACAAGCCTGACCCTTTTCTGGAAAAACAAAACAATCGCACCAACTGCTTGAGTAAAAACACAAAGAAAGCCAGGGATTGGCTATCACAGACTAATAAAAGTGTTGATCACTTGAGAACAAAGAATTCTGGCCCAGGACAGGGAAGTAGAGGGTGACCTCAGGGCTGGCAGTGACCCTGGGGAGAGGTTCTAGACAGTTATTCTTAAAATTGCTCATACTGGCATTTTCCCCTTTTTTTGTATCAAATATATATTAGAACATACTGTCTTTTTGATTCTTCCCTATTAAAAAAGTGAGCTAATAAAATTTAATCATATGTAAAGAAGCTTTGAAAAATAAAGTTCTAAAGCTAAAAGACAGATGTCTAATCAGAAAAAATATCTGAAATATGTATCACAAAAAATTACTCTTCCTGGGGAGGGACTGATTGGTTAATCCACCACCTGCAAGTGCCGGCATCTCATATGGGTGCCAGTTTGTGTTCCAGCTGCTCCACTTCCCATCCAGCTCCCAGCTTATGGTCTGGGAAAGCAGCTGAGGATAGCCCAAAGTCTTGGATCCCTGCTGGGGAAGGGAAGAAGTTCAGCTCAGCTTAGCTCCAATCATTGTGACCATTCAGGGCAGTGAACCAGAGGATGGAAGATTTTTTTGTCTCTCCTTCTCTCTGTAAACTTTGCCTTTCCCATGAAAACAGACAAATCTTTTTTAAAAAAATACTCTTCTTAATAAAGAAGTGCTCTCAGCAAATGAAAATGAGCAATAATCATGGAAATGTCATAAATAGCTCTCTAAAACATTCAGCTTCATTTAATGTAAGCATAATGCAAATCTCAATATTCTAAGATGTCATTGCTCACTATACGATTAGTAAAACTTGACATTTGACAATTAGCAAAGAGACAAGTTGCTTGCTAATGCTGTATTTGCTGCCCAGAACAAGTATGCACATGAATGCTTCACTTCTAAACGTTTACACTTATAAGCAAGCAAAACAACCTGCTCTGGGTGCAGATGGTGGTGTTAAAACTACGACAAAGACTTAATGTTACCAGCTGATGGAGTATAAGGGTGAAGTCTCGAGCTAATTACAAGTACTGTGGCCAGGGGGTGGGGCCAGTGGGAAGTCCCTGGTTCAACAGGGGTGTGCTCTCTGAGGGTAGTTCTGGAGACAGTTCTGAGTTATTTTGAGTCCAAACTCAGACTAGCTTTAGTCTTGCCCCTTTCTGGCTCATCCTGTGATTGTACCTCTGCAGCTTCCACAACAAACTCCAACTAGAGACCAGCGGAGCCATCTGATTTTCAACCTGTCAGCTGAAATGAAACTTCTTTCTCCCTGAAGAAGCTTCTCTTGGGAACTTAATCCATGTAAAGCAGACACAACTTCCTCAAATAGGATCTATCTTCCTTCCTTGGCAAATACGCCTGACACGATCATGATGGGGAAGGTCAGGTTCATGTTGAGGATATTTGCACTCCTCCTTTGTCAGCAAACACGCATGCAGAGCCTGCAGCTGGGCACCCACCCCCTTCCTCTCTCAGATCACAGCAAGGGGGTCTCACACTCACAGGTGGGCTCTTGGCCCTACAGAGGGCTGTGGGTCATGTGAAAGAGGAAGTCTAGGGTCCAGCTGACTGGAAAGTGTTCTGGAAGGTGGGACATGAGCACAGTCCTGGGAAGCAGGCTCTTTAGGTGCAGCTCGCTTGGTGTCCCTGGCTATGGGAAAACGAGCCCTCTCCCACATGTTGGTAAAAATACA